TCTGCCCCCCCCCCCCCCCCCCCCCCCCCCATGTCAGAATTTATGGCTTCCTGACTTGCATCTGCTTTAATAATTTACTGGACTGTACACAGAGTTTATTGCATTTGTAGCACATATGCTATTTGAATGTTTGTCATGGTGACTCGGTAGACCTCTTGAAATGGCTCTTGCATACCTGATGATGCCTAAGATGCTAGGATGTAACTATTGATTGATGCAGTATCAAACTAGTGATTGATGCTCGTATTATAGCCATTAGTCTTTTTGCCCTGCCTGCTTTTGGTCCTGTGGAAGGAAGTTTTGTGGCCTTTGACCCAAAACTGTTGTACAGGGGATATAATCCCCATTGTAATCTGGAGCTGAATCTGCATTTTGCAGAACTGTCTCCTTTGCCCTCCTAGTCACTGTATTGTTCCCCTTGAATCATGTACCGAAGACGTATGGCAGAAGCTTTTGGTTTTGCTCACCTTCTGCCTCCTCTCAAGTGGAGAAAATCCCTTCAGTTGTCTGTAAAGCTCTATGGTTTGTGATTGGCCAGGAAGCCAGAAGATGGAATCAGAGTTCAGTTTTGCAGGCAGGGAGATTTTGAGGACAGCTCAACAGATGGGGAATCAAGGCTCATATGGTACAAGCTTCTGGGCTCAGCTGATTTTTCTGATATTTTAACTTGGGCATTGTCTCCTTTTAGTCTAAACAAAGCACTTCAAACAATCATCTTCCTAAAGCAAGGGTGAACGATGGGCTGAAGATGCGAGCCTCTGTCCGAATGACACGTTATCTGGAGTCTTGGGGAGCGGCTAGACCCTTTGCCCACCTGAACCACAGAGAAAGTGTGAGCAGTGAATCTTCAGCTCCGCAAGGGAGGCGAAGAAAGGTGAGGGCTGAAGTTGCACTCCAGGTTTTGTGCTGTTCCTCCCTATTTGTTGTGGAGAATTTAAGACTTGTGATTGGTCTCTTCGCTGGACTTGTTGCCATTTTAGGTATTTCGATTTGTACAAAATGCCAAACAGATGCCTGTCTGTGCACAGTCAGTCAGTGTTCCCTCTAAGGAGTAGTGGTCCGTGAGCGTGCCGCCTTGGTCCAGCATGGGGTAGTTATCGAAGGGGCCTGGAGGCCGGGGGCTGGAGCTGAGAGGCTGGGGCCGGGGGCTGGAGCTTCCCAGTGCTCCGCTTCCCCGCATCAGGGCTGGGGAATGGGGCACTTCCCTGGAGCCGGCGGAGCCCGTGCCAGCCCCCTGCCCCAGCCTCCATCCCTGCCTTGCCTCACCTCAGGGAGGAGCCACTGCCTGCCCCGAGTGAGGCTCTGCCAGCTCTGGGACCCTGCAGGAAACACCCCTTGAGGCAATGCGGGGGAGTGGAGCAGTGTCCCGGAGCCGGCAGAGCCTCACTCGGGGCAGGCAGTGGCTCCTCCCCGAGATAAGGCAAGGCAGGGAAGGAGGCTGCGGCGGGGGGCTGGCACAGGCTCCGCCGGCTCCAGGGGAGTGCTCCACTCCTTAGCCCTGATGCGGGGAAGCGGAGCACTTCCGCGGAGCTGGCGGAGCCTGCAGCAGGCTCCCGCCCCCACCTCTCCTGGTGCGCGGCCTTGAAAGGCTGTGCGCGGCCACACTTTTAGTTGTGTGCAGCTGCGCACATGCGCACCTTAGAAGAAACCTTGCAGTCAGCATCCTTAGCAAAACAGCAAAAAAAATGGCTAATGCCCAGCAGAACAAGGGCTGTTGCTGCTAGCAAACCAGTTGCAAAAACCTTAAGTTCTGCTTCTCTCAGACATTTTTGTATCCTTGGTACCCCCCACCCAGTCTGTATACAAGAGCATCCATCCCAGCCTCTGAGAACCCTGGACACTCATTTAAAGCCAAACAAACCGGCCCATCCAATTGCTCCAAATACACAAAAGTCCTGACAGTTTAAAGAATGGATTCCCATTTTCTAAAAGCCAAAAGGAATAGCTGGACCTGGCAGTGTGCCCTAAAGTTTATCAAAACTGTATTATCAGCCCAAGAGAGGGGAGTGAATTATTAGAGGAAAATTCTATCCTGTTCTTTTTTCTACTTTGGCTCCAATTCTGATTCCTCTGCTGATCTCAATTGTTGCATGTTATGAAGATGAGAGAAGAGATTGGTAATAAAGCTGGGCAGCAATCTTCCACCTCTGGTTAGAAAACAATTGTCAAAACAGAAATGACTTTGTTAGAAAGGGAACATTTTAGTGAATTGAAATTGTAGTTAAAATAAAAATATTTTTAAAAATATTTTTGAGATTTTTTTTTTTTTTTTTTTACTTCATTCTGATTCAGTGTTAAAACTTAAAAAAAAAAAATTCCCATGGGACAGTGAAACTGACCTTGGAAACTTAAATAGCATTATCCATGTGGCTATTTGATCTCTGGTTTTGCCAAAAATTAAGCCTGTGTCTATCTTTGGCACATATCTAAATGTTTTTCCCAATGAAGGCCACAGGTAGACAGTGACTACATAAATGAATTGATTGTTAAAAGCCCATCCAGGCTAAAAGGATAGTTTTGTCTTACTGAGAAGAGCCGATGCTACCCAGTACTTCCAGGTTATCATCTGTTCTTTTTGGATCTTAACTTTCCTCCGGAGATTCACTAGACTTATTTTGTTTCACCTGAAGGTGAATACTACAGCTTCCTTCTTTACTCCTCATCTTATATTTAGTATAGCATTTACATTAACTACCGTGTAGAATGGAATTATTTCATTTTTGAAGGGGAGGGGGGCTCAGACAAGTGAGTGAAGAAGATTCTTGTTACATGAATGTCTGAAATTAAGCTATGCATTCAGTGCTGATCAAGTATCATGTAATATCCTGTACAATACCTCTGTATCACTTCTGTGGCTAGTAGTCCAGTGGAAAATAAACATCTGCTGTATGATTTAAATTAGCTCTTCACACTTATGTTGTCATGGGTGTCTGGTTGACTTTTTCTTTAAGTACATTTAAAATCATCTCTTCAGTTTTTATTAGATGATTGTATTAAATGTGTTCTCAAATTTTCCTTTTTTAGGAAATACCTTTGCGTATGGCAGGTCGTCTGAGGACTTCAGATAGGTAAGTCAAGTAACTTTGTTACTTACTGTATGGTTTTGGGGGTCCTTTTGCTGTTTGATGCACTCCTAATTATAGGACTTAGATATTTATTTAAATAAAATCCAGACAACTGCTGCATATAGCTAAATCCAAGATGACTTTGAATTTAAGATGACCCCAATAATTAGATTCCAGACATGTAAAATTATAAATTTATTATAATTTTCCATGTCCAGAATCGAATGATTGGAGGGTCATCTTAAATTTGTCTGTCTCTGCTTTTGCAAGGGGAGCAGGGGAAGGAGTGAGGAAAGCAGAGTCAAAGAGACAGGCAGGGAGAAAAGAGAGGCAGAGGGAAAGCAGGGATGGAGGCAGGTGGGGTGAGGGGGAAGAAGGGGTGGGGGCAAGCAAGGGCAGGGGAAGCAGGCAGCCTGTTCTCCATCCTTTGCCCCCGTGGTGCTTCCCCCTTCACCACTTCCCTATTCCTTGCCTCCCTGCCCACCTTCCCCCTCAGCTGCTTTACCTACTGATCAGGACTCAGGGTGAGTCCCAGAGCTGGTCCTACCCCACACTGCAGGGAGCAGCTATGCAGGGAGTCCAGATCTGCAGCGGACAGATTCCTCCTTCCCTGCTTGGCTTCCCTTCCACCTCACCCATCCACCCCTTTGGGTGGGAGCAGGCTCCAAGGAGGACTCTGCATGCTGTATAGCTGGGCTTCCTGAAGAGCTGCGTTTTGCAGCAGCAGGAGTGACTCTGGAGCTTCCCGATGCTTGCTACAACTGAATCGCATTGCTCCAGCTGGAAGCCGGGAGGAGCTGCTTTGCGGGTCACCCAGCTGGCTGGAGACACAGCAGCATGGGATTTCCTTCTGTCCTGCCTGGATTTCTGCCAACAAGGGAGACAAAGAGAAGGGCATAAGGAAGTCAGGCAGGGAGAGATGCTGGAAATGGGAATATGCATGTTGCCAATGCTGTCCCTGCCCCAGCTGTACTCCCTGCACGGGTGCTTCTCCTAGCTCCCAGCAGTGATACTTGAGTCTGAGGCAAGCCTTTGTTTTCCCCATGGTGAAAGGGGAAAAATACCTCATATTGGAATCAAATGCGGTAGCTCTATTGTACCCTAGGTTTAAGGGGTTCCAATCAGGTCTACACTATTTTTAAAGGATGTTGCAAGTTCCTAAGAAATAATTCAGTTATTTAGGACATATATTTAAAATATTACGACATTTTTTTCTGTCCTCTTGATAGTCCCTTCACTCAAGTGTTACTGGATTGCATTTCACTTGAGGAAGTAGAACAGGGTACAGCAGGGAAGAGAGGTGAAAAAGGAGACAAAGATCAGCAGAAAACAACTCCATATGTGCTGCTAGCTTAGGTTATCATCTGTTTAATAATAGGGAACACAGGTTCTTCTGTTCCTATGACCTGTTAATTATTTGTCTCATGGTAGCACTTGTGTGATTTAATCAGAGTGGGAGGGAGGATCCACTGTGCTAGGTGCTGTGCAAACCTGTCCCTGAGAGCTAGTAAACTAGAAAAATAGTCAACATGCAGCACCAGCATTGGTTTAGCATAAGAAACAGACTCTTCCTTGGAGAATAACTTTGTTAACTTTCCACTCTTAGTGCAGTGGTTATGTCAGCACTTGCAAAACCCCAAGCTAGTGTTGTGCTCTGATTTATCCCACTGTTTATCCTACTCTATGGGCCAGTCAGGCCTGGGGAAGTTTATGTAGTGCCCCTGCTGCTCCCCATATTCATAATAGCAAGCCTTGGCCATTGCTTTATATGGACTTTGTTAAAGGAACGTATTGTCTTGTTCTCCAGTTTGCTCATTACATCATTCCAAGATATACTGGATGTCTGAGGCATTTTAATGTGTTATTGCAAGTTTACTGCTCAACCTGAATAGAAGAAATTGTAAAATCCAACTTTTAGACATTGTGTTTAATCTTGAGATGCCTCTTAGCTGTGCTTATGCTCTATGTAATTCAGAAACTACTATCTTTTAATGATAAATATTGCAGTAAATGTATCACAAGACTAAACAAGCCATATTCTCCATGCATTGCTAATGCTACCTTTAGCTTTTAAACTTTTACATAAACTGACTTCATGTTAATAGACTTTTGCACTGCAGAATTTGGCATTTCAGACTTCTTTAGTAAGCTAAATAAAATAAAAGGAAGATTATTCAGCTTGACAACTCACTGAAGATAGGGTGCCTTCAAAATTATTTTGTTTGAATGAGTAACTTAATGGTTATTAATTCATCTGTTAAAGCTGCTGTCTTGCGTGAATGTGTGTTCCTTCCTTGTGTGTTAGTTTGTGTAGATTTAGATGTATGTAGTTGTATTCTTCTTGAGTTGTAAACTATAAATATTCTTTTTTGTCTTTTTATTCCTGTAAGTACAGAATTCTCTCCCTCTGGAATTCTTAATGTCTGATATGTCCTCACTAACCCCCTTTCTGTTTTTCTACAGAAAAGTAAGAAGTGGGCTTTTTTGCAAGGGGATGGGTAACTTCGAAGAGATTCATTCCTTTTTCATTGTTGCGTTAGCAGTAATTGAATGTTCCCAGTAGTTTTTTACTTATTTATTTCTTTTAGGTTTCAATAAAGGTAAATATATTTTTGTATTTATAGCATCTGAATTTAACCTTATTTTATAAACAAAAGTCTCAAAATTAATTATGCCTGTTTTTAAATTATTTTTTAGAGCTTATTTTGGAGTTGGTACATCACATAGTAAAATCACAATAATAAACAATAGTAGCAGTATGAGACAACCCTTTTATGCTTATATCTGCAGCATACTTTGGAAGTTTGGGTAGAGATAAACCCCTTTTTATAAGCAACAAATTTGCTTTGTTATATACATATATTTTTTTTCTCAGAAATACATCTCAGAAAGGAAGGCTGGAGGAAGATATTTATGATGAAATGATGTCAACCATTGAGGGTCTTAGTTCGACCAAGTATGTATTATTTTATTATCTTCTTCTTGGATCTGCTTTTCTTTTGAGCAAACATGTATTCTTAGTTTTAAAACTAGATGCATCCTCTGCTCTGCTTTCCAGAACCAGCAAGAGATTAAGTAATTGTCTTGGCTTTTTCTGTTGCTTGTTTCTTTTTGGTTGGGTTTTTCTTTCTTTCTTAATTATTCCTCGTTTCTAACTTGATTACAGTGTGTTCTAGTATAGCTTAATAACATTGTTCTACAGTAAAATTCTGTCCAGGGACAATATTTTATTTCTGAGAAAATGAAGAAATTGTACCTGGAAACTGATCATGTCCAATGCAAGTGCTCCATACGGTACTGTACAGTGCTCTAGCTGAGAAAAAATGTTATTAAAAAGCCTAGACATTACTTTAAGTATCTGGGCATTGTACAAAGAAATGAGCTGAGTGAAGGTCAGGAAAAGGGTGGGAAGTCCTCTGTCTCATTTCTGCATACAAACAGCTAAGGAGCAAAGAACTGATGCACGCATGTGGACAGTTTGGAGAACATAGGCAGATGCTGACAGCACTAGCACTTCTACTCTGAGGGCTGGTATACTAACAGAACTGTCAGAATAGATTTCTTTGGTAATTGTTGAGCTTACTAACAAAGTGGTCTTTGAGTCGGGGTCTCGGGCTTTTAAAGGGCTTTGTTTGCTGTTCTGCATCCTGCTACTTTGGTTATTGCCTATGTTTTGTAAAATCTCTTTCTGTTTCAATGCAGACCGTGGTGTTGTAAATCAGATGACTTCTGTAGATTCTGGCTCTTTTTTGTAGAAACAGGACTTGAAAAAGAGGTTGGTAAGGGATAAGCAATCTGTTTTGATAGTTATGGTACTGGAATTTATGCAAGCAGAAGAGAACTGTTGAAAGTGCTTTTATTTCTTCATTGGGATTTCTGAGGTGACTGCAGCCCAGAGAGGTCTTGGGTAATCTGATGTAGTGCAGACTGTTTGGCTTATCCACTCTTTTTTGGCAATCTTAATCCTATGGACTAAAGGTGTCTGTTACAAATTCAGGTTAAAACCTGGCCCTATTTAAATCAATGGGGTTTTGCCAGTGAGACATATTAGTTTTGAGCATCTTTATTACAAAAGCAAGAAGCTACATTTAAAATGTTTCTGTACAACAGTGTAACAGGTGTTCATGTCATTGTATGTGGAGTATCAGAATTGGCAGATACAGTGCATAACCTGTATGAATGGTAATATTATTCTTAATGCCCAAATCATTCACAGTTATAGTTGTTTAACTTAAATGGGGACAGCATAGCATTTCAAATCTCTTTACGAGTAAAACATTTTACATTCTGTTGCTTCCCCTTTGCAGAACACATTTGGACGCACAAAGCTTCCCCCTACCTGGGACACCTGCCCTTTGATGCCTCCCACTCCCCTCAAGAACCGCCTTCACTAATACATAGTAAACGAATTAACTCCACTGTAAGATAGTACTGTCAGGGACAATACTATCTTACAGTAGAGTCATTAAGTGAGATCAAACACATGTAGATGGCGACTGCTGGGCACAAATATCGCCCGGTCAGCACAGCAAGCCAGGGACCAGACCTCCGGCTCCTGCCTGCCCCTCCACTGTCTGATACTACCACCTGGAGGCTGGGGCTGGCCCCCAGTGCTCCCCTACCAGGGCTGCTCCATCCTAGCCCAAATTGCTGCTGTCCTGGGTGCACGTCTCAACACTGCACTTGGGAGCAGTGTACTCCAGGTCAAATGGCCCTGGAGTTTATTGCGTTGTGTTAACTGCACATGTAGATGCATCCACTGTGTGAATTCCCATATAATGTAATAATCTGTTATGCAAGTACAATACTTCTTTAAGTTGGAAATCAATACTTTTGAACTATTCTGTGAATGACAATTAATGGTTGCTTTATTATTAGATTTAAAAAAAATGTTTTGTATTTAGTTTTAACTGTAGGGGGTAAAAATAGTTGGTGGTAGATTTGTCTAATTTTTAAAAAAGCTCAGTAAATTCTGTAGTTGGCTTCTGTAATTCTCTTTACTGACATGATTACAATCTGTTTCAGTATCGCACCATCTCCATCCCAAAAGTGAGCAGTTACTTTGCGTGTGCCAGTATTGTGTTGCTCTGTATATTTGTGATACAAATGTTTGTGATGCCAATGTAAGTGCATTTTTTTTCTTTCTTTCTTTTTTGTATTGTTTTACATTTTAAATGAACCCCTGGGTAAAGCAATAGGTTTTGCTTGAATAACATTTTAATTCTTCCAGACCTTCCTGCAGGGCTGTAACCAAGTGACATATAATCCTAACCTGCTCTTTGTTAGCACGTTGCATTCATATAGGCAGCTTTGGTACCTGAGCCAGGACAGCTGCATAACAAAAATGGACAGTGTTTCCTCAATAGTGTGTTTTGACAATGGTCAGTTAATACACAGAGGAATATACAGATCAATTAAATGAGGACGTATTGTTTTAGATAGTTTATCTGACCATAACCAGATTGACTATAAATGAGGAGAAGGATTAAGTAGAGCTAAGATGTCCCTTTCCTTTAAGAGGAAAAAGGAACATGGAGGGGGAACTCAAAAGAAGGGTGTTGGCTTGTTAAATATCTCTTTATCACAACTCTGATTGTGCAGACTTCCTTTGGCAAACATGTTTTCATGCCTGCTCTGGTGTGCTGCCCTTATTGTTTATGCATAGGATAATAATAGCATGTGTTTTGAATGAAGGAGCAGTGAAAGTGAGATCTTGATAGTGAGCCTGGAAGTGGATCTCAGCCACAGGAGGACAGCCATTTTTATGGCAGGGATATCAAACTCATATCCTGCCCTGGGCTGGATCTGGACCACAGGGCTGCTTGTAGGCCAGATTCTTGCCCAGGGCATGGGGTGGCTCTAGCAGCTTCCACCATGTGTTTCATGCCCCATGCCAGAGCTAGAGCTGCTGCCACTGATGTGTTTCATGCCAGGGCTGTGTTCAGCATGGAATGCATAGGGGTGGCATTGGTGGCTGTAGCAGGGAGCATGGGGCAAACAGTATTGGCTTCAACTCTAGCACACGACACATGGTTGTGCTTTGGAGAATGTGGTATGAGGTGCTGGCTTGGGCTCCAGCTCCAGCACAGAGCATGGGACACATGGTGGTGCACAGCACAGAGTATGTGTGTGCATGCAGTGACAGTGGGCAATGAGGCTAGCGACTGAGGAGCTGGGGCCGCAGCAGTGACAGCAGGTGAAATGGCTGGAGGGTGACGGGGCTGTCTGCCCTTGCCTGCCTTGGATAGCAATGTCCACCAGGGGCCAAGGGCTCTGGATTCTGAGGCAGGCCACTCACCCCTGGCCACGACCCTTCCCCAAACTTCCAGCAGACTGCAGGTAGCCCTGTGGGCTCTGCAGGCTGGGTCTAGCCCACCAGCCCTATGTTTGACACCCCTGATCTGTGGAACGCCTTATCTTGTGGGCATCTCATACTGAAAGAAATGAATTTTGTTTATTTTTAGGAGATAAAGTTAAGGGGTGTATTCTCATGAGTTGGAATTTGATAATGGCATGATACCTGTAACTTTCTTTTAACACTTCTCATCTCTGTTTCAGAACTCCAAAACTTGGGATTTCATTTGGGATTATAGCAGTTGTCATTGGACTGATTTTATGCATGTGTTTTGTTGATAAATGGATGGTAAGTAAAAATGTAGGTCAACTATTTGTTTTAAAGTTAATGGCTAAAATAAGGCACTCAAATATTTTAAGCACCTACCTATAAATGGCGTGCATTTAGGTACTGAGCATTTGCAGTTTAAGGAAAGCTGAAATAATCAAGCTGGGTATATTTCAGTGTCTAAAACACAGTTTTAGATGCTGAACAAAAGGCATTACATTTGGAAATGAGCTATAATTCTTCCATTCTATTATATAATTGTGGTTTTAAAAACCCCAAGTGCTTTCTGTTCTTATGCCAAATTTTACAAGATTTTGATACTATACACTACTCCTTAAGTGATTTTGGTTATGAATCCTACAATTTTTTGAGTGCAAGGGTGGGTTAAACAAGAATTCATAAAGCTGTAATATAAAAAGTGAAAATGCCCATGTGTTTTAATGATGGTAATATTGTAGCTTGCTTTTCCTTAAAGGATCTTTGTTGAACTTAAAATTCTAGTAAATTGAATACCGTGTGCTTGAATTTATTCTTTGCTGTGTGACACTCTAGGTGTACTGTCAAATGTATATAATTATGGTTTTTAATAAAATGAGAACAGCTGTACAAACACAGAGAACAGCCTTGTATCTTAAAAAAACAGTGTTGTCCAGTCCAGCCTTCATGTTAACCCTCCCCATGAACTCCAGAGAGAACAAATGGATTTTGCTGTGTATCTGTAAGGACACCAGATCTTGGCTCTGGTGGACCGAAGTCGGAAGTAAATTAAAGTTTTTCTGAATGGTCTCTCACCAGCACCTTTCAGCATGAGGCTGGCAGCCTCAGCATTGTAGATCTCAGTTACTATGAGAAATGATACAGTAAGAGGTGTTTTTTCTTAAGTACCAAGAGACAGATGAAATTGGGTACAGAGAGTGCAGGACACTACTGTATGAATAGTAATCTTTAGATGATTTAAGTAGCAAAGCTTTCTTGAATTCCATATTTGGTGTATTATACATTGAGCCACATGGTGGTAGGAAAAAGAAAGTTCCAAAACTGACATCGCATTCAGTTTAATTTTAACCTCAGGACTGTTTGGATTCAGAGTCCCTGAACAATATGTTTATATTCAATTACTATGCTTGCTCTCTTAAATGAATATATGTTTTAGCAAATATTTCTTCCTATATCAGGAAATGGAGGAGGGTTTTTTGGGGGGGTGGGGGTTGGTATGTTGTAGTTTGTGTGAATCATTTGCCTTTAAAGTCTATTTTTCAATTTAGCAGGAATTGTAATTTAGCGTAACTTTTTTATAATGTTTTGGTAATGGCTCCCATTGGATGCTGTCACAGTATGTAGTGTGGTAGAAATTCTATCAGTGTTAAAACCCTACCCTTGAAAGTAAAAAAAAAAAAAAAAAAAAAAAAAAAAAGTGTTACCTCCATTTTACAGATGCAGGAATCAAAGGTGTAATTCTGGCTTGTCCAGTAGCTCAGAGTGAGTTAGTGACACAGATGGGAGTTCAAGAGTCTCAGCTCTTGCTCTCTTGCTGTGATTAGAGAACAAAATCAGTCTCAATAGAAATGGAGGTAACACTCTTGCAATGCTCCAATGATTGTCTTTAGACCTTAGTTTGTGCAAGGGACAGAGTATTTTTTTGCAGTAACTGTCAGAGCACTAATGTCCGTGTCATGCATCTGGCTGAGACATTCATTTCATTTACAGAGGTGTTGCTCAGAACGATGGCCTTCTTTGAGGCCCCTTTCTGCTGTTTCTGAGATGGTGGAAACAATGCCTCTAGTGAGACTCCCATTAGCTGTCATCACTGTCGGTGCCTTGCTGATTATCGCCATTTTTAATTTTGTAAGTAATTGCATTTCCTTCAGTTCGTTAATTTTATTTAATATTGTGACCATCACAGACTCTTTCCTCAAGTGGCTTGTCCTGGGCCCTACTTTCTGATGGGTAATGCCTCACTACTTATTTTTAACTTTACACTGATGCATAGAAAGACAATTTTGTGTGGAATGTGGACTAGGATGCAGCAGGGGAAAAAAGGTCCCAAGCAGTTTGTAGAATCTAAAATACATACATAATATTCTTCTGTCATTGCTCTCTTTGCTTTTATCATGTCAGGAGCAATAATAATTTATTATAATTACTATTTCTGTAGGAATATTCCAAGTTTCCATAACATGTCAATTATTTGACTTCAATGAATGGGAGCTCTATAAAGTTTAGAGAATACTGCACTAACTACAAGGCAGACAGACCTTCAGAGTCCCACTGTAACTCATGGTGCTTTACGTAAAATGCCGTGAACTAGAGTGCTTGCCTGACCCAAGCCATTTGCCTGTTGGGTCGGGGGGATCGAGTCTATTTGCACTGGCCCTCCTGGCCAGCAGACGGGGTGCTCCAGCAGCCTCCAAGGAGGCAGCTGAACTGAAGAGGCAGATGAATTGCCCCTCTTCCCAGCACCCCACCCCCCCAGCTCTGGGGTGGTCAGTGTGGGGAGGGGGAGGCAGAGGGAGGAAGTAGCATCGAGCTGCTGTCCGGAGTTTGCTGCCTGGCTGGAGCTGGAGAAGGGGAGGGGAGCCAGAGCCTTCCCGCCTCATAGCTCCCTCCCTCAGGTACCTCAGTAGGGGAACTGGGCTGGTCCCATGAGGTGAAAGGACTCTGTTCCACCCCCACCTCTCTCCCCCCTCCCCTCCCCACTTAGCTTAGGTCAGACAAAGCAGAAAAGAGGAAGCACAGCTTGCCTGGCCTGAGCTGGAGGGGGCAGTGCAATGGAGTCCCCTTGTCTTGTGAGCCTGGCCTCACTCCTCCCACTATCCCAGCTCGGGTACCTGGAGCGGGGCTGCAAGGTGAGGTGGGCTCTGTTCCACTCCCAACCTCCTCCAGCTCCAGCTAGGCAGTAAACTCCAGCCAACAGCTCAGTGTTGCTCTCTCTCTCCACCTCCTTCTCCCCCTGCTGACAGCCTCTGGGGCAGGGCTGCGCTGCATAAGTCCAGCCCAATGCATGAAAAATTTACCCAAGGGAACGCAAGTTTCCTAAGCCACTCTAAAGCGGAGCACCTTCATCTAATACCTCATTTGAGGAAGGTTAATTTGTTACATGATCAGCAGGGATTCTGGTTTTCTCTGATAAAAAAATCATAAATTCTCTGACAAAGTTGCAAATTCTTTGATAAATCCCCCAAAATCCATTATTAAAAATAAATGCCCCCCAGCCCTTCTGGCGCCCCTCATTTCCCCAACAGCCCCCTTGTCCTAGTGCCTCTTGCCCCCTACCCACAGCCCCTGCCCCCCAGCCCTGCCAGAAGGGGCCCCCAGCTGCCAGAGCTATGGGGCCAGGGATCCAAGTCTGCAGACCCCTGCCCCCAACAGCAGGCAGCTGCAGCAGAAACAGCATGGAGCTGGCTCCCCCGCTGCTGCTGCCTGCTTGGGCAGGGCCGGGGCCGGCTCCTGGCTCCCCCCCAGCTCTGCCAGTGCCCCCAGCCATGACCTGCAACCCCCCAGCCCTGCCAGAGGGGCCCTTAGCCTCCTGCAAGCCCCACTTACCTCGCACACTCCAGGAACAAAGAGTGAGGCTGAACTGAGTCCAATGGTGGCTGACTGAGAGCCTCAGGCCCTGCCCTTCCCCCTCCTTCTCCCACTCTGGGCAGGGTTGGGGGTTTCCTGCCCTGTCTGCAAACAGCTCTTGCAGGCTGGAGCTTAACCCACTTGCAGAGCTCTTTGCAAAAGCGGAGAATCCACTGGCTTCTCTGCTAAAAGGAGAAATCCATGTTTTCTCTGATAAAAGGGGGAAATCAATGGCTTTCTCCATTTTTCTGTGGGAAACAGAAAACTTGGATTCCTGGTGATCAGCCACTTTAAAAGCCCCCTGCATCTGTGCACCTGTGTCTCAGCACAGCTATAGAGGTGCTTTCAGGGGCCCAATTGTGTGAAAAATCTAACTTGTGTAAGTGCTCCTAGTGACAGCTTGAGTTAGTGAGGGAGGGAAGCATGAAAAGTGACTGCCCCCTTGCTTAAAAATCAAAGCCAAAGCTAGCATTGGCAAATCCTGGAGTGTTTACTTAGTCTTTGCTCCTGTTATGGGAGTCCTTTCTGAGTTAGGATAGCAGAATTTGGGATCTGGTCGAAGTCTCTTTGAAGCCCAGAGGTAATCTTTCTTTTTGAATTCAGAATAAGGATTGTTTCAGGCTTTTGGGCCATCAGATAGAAAAAAATATTCTGTGTAGACATCACCAAAATGTTTGCTTTCTCCTACTTGGTTGCCTGTGTTGGCAGGAGAGATGCTGTTTTGAAAAATTATGGCAGGTTTGATTCTGTTGTTGCAACTGCTTTATTCTGAGGATGTGTTATACAAGTACAAGGCATTGGCATTATTTAAGATTTATATTGCAGCAGAGTCAAGAGGGCAACCGGAACTTCATTGTTCTAGATGCTGCACAAATAGAGAATAAATGACTCCTTTTCATAATCAGCTCTTATGTTCTTTTTTTGCCAAAGACTCAGCCTACTGAAGAAAGCAGACTTTCAAACTGTACCAGACCAAGTAACGAGTGTATCACTGCCTGTGTAAGTACAGCATCACTTTTATTTCCTAGATTAAAAAATATCACAGACCTTGAATGTTGTGTATAGTGCTGGCAGAAATCTGTCATCTTCCCTTCTCTTTACAAAGATATAGCTTTTAAATTACTGAGTGCGCACAGATTTGCTCCTGCCATCTAATGGTTCCAGGTGCCATGTCTGAGAGATTACATAGGTTCCCTGCATGATGCAGGGTCTACAAAAGATGGTTTCATAGCTTGTCATCTTAATATTTTCAGAAGCATTGACCCCTCACGGCTCCAGTGAAGTCACAGGCTTCTGGGTCTGCTCAGCACCTCTGAAAATCAAAAGTTCCAAGTGTTAAATTTGATTCAGAGTCTTGTTGTTCAGTCTCCTGCATACTTAGAAGATAAGAAGAGGTGCTTCAAAGGTGGTGAATCTTTTAAAGTGAAACAGTATTTTAGCATGTAAAGTTGTATGCAATTCCTATTGACACTGAAAGAAAGCAATGCCATTGATTTCATTTGGCATGGCATTCAGTTTTTGGCCCTTAACATGAATTTGTATTTAGAATTCACCAAAATGTTTGTGAAGAATTTCTCTCCTTTGTTTGCCAGTTCTGAACATTTTTGAAGTAGTGTACTGCACGTGTTGACAGGACTTTTTTTTTGCAAGTCTTGCTCACATTCACAACATGCTGATAATTTTTTGCTGCTAATACTTCTGCGTTCTTCCCTGTCTATGAATCAGACTACTGGAAAAAATACAACTGGATTCTGTTCTGAGAATATCGTCTTCCCTGTAAGTAGTATGCAAGTGTCATGTGTCCATTCCCCTCTACCCCACCCCCTCAAGGAAAATACACGTTTTGAATGCTGTGTTTTAATACTGGCAGCTGGCAAGGTCTTGGTATCATCCCTTTGTTGATTGAACATACAGCTTTTACATTGAGTAAATAATGATTTATCCTGCAATGAAGTAGGGTCAGCTCTTCTGTCTCTGAGAGTCAATGTGATTTTCCTGCATTAGGCACAAATTTCAGACTTAAAAATTCCATTTGCCTTTTTAATTAAGAATGGAAATGGATGTGGCTAACATGGATTAGATGTGTGTGGCGTGCTGTACAGCATATTCCAGCATAGGTACCACCAGGTAAAAGAGGCTTTGAATGGTACACAGGCTGACTGGCCTATGGATGGCTTTCACTCTTAAAGGCCTGATCAAGGCTGTGAGTATGCATCTACATATTCATTAATACTTATTGGCTAACGCACATTAAATTTAGTACCTCCACTGTGAGGTACTAAAAAAGGGCACATTAGTCTATTTTAATGTATATTAGCGAAAGAGTGTGTTTTTTGTCATGGTTTAACGCTCATTAAAATAGGCTAATGCACATTAAAGCACATGTGTAAATGTGCCTTGAGGGATCATCAGTACCTTTCGTAAATGAGGCCTAGAGTCTTCAGGAAGACAGGTTTGGTACAATAGAGTCTGTTTCAGACTGTGGGGCAGATCCTCACCTAGTAAAAATGTCCATAGCTCCATGACTTCAGTAGGACTGTGACAGGTTGTGCTTGCTGAGGATATGTCACTGGAACTTTATAATACATGCAGTTATAGGTGCAAAAGTTTAGTAATTTATTCAGTGCCATGTATAAAAGAAAAAGCTAAAAGTTAAATGAGATCAAGTGCCTGTAAAACTGTGAACTAGTTGGAAAAAATATTGATACATTCTTAAAGCCAAATCCAAAGTCCACTATCATCAGTGAGAGTTTTTTTCCATTGATTTAATTTGCTTTTAGAACAGATCAATTATGTCATGAAAATTCTTTATATCATTAACCAAGCGACATTCCAGGCAGGCAAATAAGTTGAGGTGTCTGTACATTGCAGTTGTGATTTGTTCAAGCTGGCAAAAGTATTAGAATGCTTAAAAGTTTCTGGGTCCCAGACACATACTCAGGTCACTAGACTTACAGCATTTCTGTAAACCAGAATTGAACTTAAAGAGAATGAATAGAAATTCATTTTTTTAAATTAATCATGTCTAGAGAACAAATCCCTTTGCTAGCAGCATTTTTTTTTCATGTGTACCAGATATTGCTTTCATGTTTTTAGGCAGATGTTTTTATATAGGATAAATCAAAAAGTAAGTTTGTTAAAAAAAACAAACAAACCCCAAACAAACAAAAAAACCCCAAAAACAAACTAACAAAAAACCCCAAACCAAACAACACCCCCCTCCCCCAAGATCTGCCTTCTAGTAGAATTAAACAAGTTAGATAATTAAATCTGTTATATGGTTTAATTCTATTTTGTCTGGTATAAATTATGATGGCCACAAATTCACTAACCTTTGAAGTGTAAAATGTACTGTGCACACATTAATTTTTCAGCTTTTAATTTTTTTTCTATTACAGTATTATACTTATTGCTGCATATTGGCGTTTATTGCTTGCTCAGCATTCCTTCGAATGAGCTTTGAACTGAAATTTCTTCTTCTGTCCATTGCTGTCACTGTGTACATCGTAATTTTTAATGATTTGAGTAGAAGCTGTGACCCTGAAAGGTATGATACAAAGTTCCTCATGATGGACAAAAGTTTTACATGGAAAGGGTTGTCAGAGTCCTGAACTTTCATTGGGGTTTTAAGTATTGCAATATGAGACAAGAATTTTTAGGAACATTTTGTGAAGTCATTAATGAAAATATTGTTATGATTCATCATTTCCAGCCTTTTTGCTGACTTCTTCCAAACTTCCTCAGAAAAAGTTTACTGTGGGATGTGATTGAGGGACATGGAATCCCACAATGCATTGCTTGTTTTGGGGGGGAAGGACAAGGGGGAGGTTTAAAAACTGTTCTTATAGTGAGAGGTTTCAGCCTCATCTAGGAAGTAATAGCTTGACAAAGATTAAAAGTTTTTAATGTACAGTAATAGCTGTACATTAAAAGTTTCCAAAATGTTTATCTCTATTCGTGGTACATTTGAATTGCCAATGCATACACGGTGTGCTTGCTCCAGGAGAGGCTGCAGAGAGAGAGAGAGAGAGAGAGAGTGTGTGTTTGGGGGGGGGCGGTAAACATGGGCATGGCTAACCCGTGTGATAGAGTCCTGCAGTGAAACGTGGCATACCTGCTCTGTACTCGCTCCAGCCCAAAACATGTAGCTACTGCTAGAGCAGCCCTGAATACACTCCAGTAAATACCCCTGAGAGAGAGGGCTAAAGAGTGGCACTAGACATGTGCCAAAGAGCAGCACTCTAGTTTTTCTGTGGTTGTGATGCATGTGGGGTGTTTCAGTTCTCTGCCCTTCAGCAGCCCCAAGGTGCAGTTGGAGGTGATGTAGCCATGCCCCAGTAGTACAGCACAATAGTTAACTATCCAGGTCATAAACTACCTTCTTACTCCAAGGAATTTAAAAACCAGCTGATGCTTCCAACCTAATCAAGCAGGGGAGCATAACTCCTATGTACAACCAGGAAGCTTTGTATGCTTATTTGCAAGTCTCTTCCCAGAATCCCGGGTACGCTGTCAAGGCTGTTGCATAGTGTGATGGAAACTGGATTAAGCCAATACACATGGATAGTTTGATTGTGCTGAGAGTTTGGGGCTGGTCCACACAAACTGGAGCCAATATATCTCACTGAGCTGTAGTTTGTGACACCTGCAGGCATTTCAGTGTAGTGCTGCAGGCGGGCACTTGTTTCAGAATCAGAGTGCTCTACTTGGATATAACTTCAATTGGTAAAAAATGTACTTAATTTAAAGAATAATCTTATTCTGGAATAAGTGTTTGAGGCTGAGAACATTACAGGTGTGAAGTATAGCTCAGTGACATCAGTTCCAGTTTCTATGTAAATGTCAAAGCAGCACCTGTAAGCAGCTGGACTACAGTGTACCTGGGCATGTCACTCTTACTATTTTTAATAAAACCTTGAGAGTGAAAAGGGGACTTGTGTTAATCCATGGTTTGTAAAAAGACTCAAAACAATAACTGGGTATTGCCTTTCTGGATTTTAGGTTTTTCTTGAAAGATCCAAAAATGATGAGTTATTTGTACATAGCTCTGTTTTACGTAACTCTGATCCTACTGGCAAGACAGGTAATGATTTAAAAGCAAAACATCCTTTCCTTTTTCACTCTGTAATAGTTTATTTAAGTAAAATGCACCAGAATACTGTTTTTATTTTAGGGAGTCTGGGAATGGGTGTTTGAATCTATTTTCTGTCCCAGTACCTGGTGAGGAAACCTTTTATTTTTGGGGAAGAGAGAGGGAGAGGTCCCATTTTTCATTAGTATTGAGGCATTCAACTTTTGGATACCATTTTTCACAAATGGCTTCAAGATAGTGCTCACAAAATTGTGCAGCCAGATTCTATATCAGGTAGCCTTTTAGTGAGGGTATGATTTTAATATGCTGTTACCCAGACTGACTTGGTATGTCATGAAGAATGATTTGAAATTGATGTCATTATTATTTAAAATACAGCCATGACTTACGTGCGCATGTTGGACTGGGTACATCTGACAGCACTAGAATTGCCTACACAGTTACCTTTTGACTTGTGTACATATAGATTATATATTCACAGATGTGGGTATAATTTTTCAATCAAAAATTAAAGGCCATTCAGTTACACCATCAGCTGAACAAACTTGCAGTCTACATTGATTGAATTGAGACTAGTCCGTTCTGCTTTGAGAGGTAGGTGGATTTAACTTGTACTTTTTTTTGTTTGCAGATTGACTATTACTGCCGACTGGATTGCCTATGGAAGAATAAATTTAAAAAAGAACATGAACAGTTTGAAACTATGGAGAATGTTAACAGGCTCTTGCTGGAAAATGTCCTTCCAGCACATGTTGCTGCCTATTTCATTGGTGAAAAACGAAATGAGGTACGCTTAATTTACTGGGCTGGTAAAGACAGTAAATAAGACTTTCAGAATACCTCCTGCACCAGTGGAAAGGGGGTTCAAAGCTTTTGCCTGCCCTCAGTCCCATCCTTTTTTGTCCAAAGTCAAGCACCCCAAGAGCTTTCCAAAGTAAAGGCTCTGCTACCAACATGGCATTACAAAAACTGTTAACTTTTACATCGGAGGACACTAAATCCATTCAGAGCTGATCCCTGGCTTTGGGTGGATAATTGGTTCAAAGGCTATGAACAGACATCACATTTATCCCTGGATAAAATGCATCTGTGTTTGTCCCAGGACAAAAATATCCCAGGACTGACGTGCACACACATTACCCTTCTAATCAGGGTTTAGTGACTGATTGACTGAAGTGATGCTTTTCTGCCATTGATCCAATTATGCTATCTTGGGATAACTGTACAAATGTACTTTGTAATGCCCCAGAATAAATGGTTACTAGCTTTTATCTGGAAACTTATTTTTAGGATTTATCCTGGAATAAATATGGCACCCTAGAAATCTGTGAAATCTGTTTGCAGTCTAGAAGATTCACCTTTCTCCGCCGACCACATTTTACAGAGCTGATAGCCTTAATTTTTACAGGAAATTAATTGAGGTATAGATAGCATCTCCTTAGCAACACTTCAAGAGGAGATGGTACATAAAAGTGATTTTGTGAATATCAGACACCTCCCTACACCAGCACTTCATCACCTGCTCACTGAGCCACTGGTGGAGTTTTGGACTAAGAAAGTAGTCAGTGTCCAGAACAGAGGTAGGGGGTGTGGTGGGAGGATATCCTGGATAGTGATTTTCTCAACAGTTTTGGTAAAAGAAATGTAGGAAAGTATATTCCTTCTGTTAACGTGGCCACATTCCAGTGGTTAAGGTGGCTTCATTTCTAGTTGAAATTGTTTTTGAGAGTACCAAACAGCTGAATGTTGTTTTGGTTACAGAGCATCAGGTTACAGCAGTGACTGTGAAATTGCTCTTGCTTTTCCACAGGATTGGTACCATCAGTCATATGACTGCGTCTGTGTCATGTTTGCATCAGTACCTGATTTTAAGGTATTCTATACTGAGTGTGACGTTAATAAAGAAGGACTGGAGTGCTTGCGGCTATTGAACGAAATCATTGCTGATTTTGATGAGGTACTTGAGTTTCAAATGAACATATCTTGGATTTCATATTTGTTACAACATTAAAATGTCTTTCTAGCACTTTAGTGTAGGAATCATGAAGTTAGAAGAAAATTGGTAAATTGACCCTGATAGTCTTAGGCAGAAGCCAAGGTAGAGGTGCACCTTATAGGCTAAATGAATCAGAGATGCATGAACTCAGTTCAGCCTTCAGTTTTGGAAAGTAAAAATTCTAGCAAACTCTATCTTATGCTCTCTTGCAGTTAGAACCCTTTAATAGTACTGTATGAACAAGTATCAGTGTTTTTCCTCATGGATTTGAATACTGATGTATCTGAGATTTCATTTTTGCCTTGTGAGATTTACTCAAGTCTGTTATAGAGAATACAAGGTCATTGATAAGAACATACTGATATATGAAGAATTACAGTCTCGATTTTTTTTTTATAATTTAATTTTCTTCTCACAGCTGTTGTTAAAACCTAAATTTAGTGGTGTTGAAAAAATCAAAACCATTGGAAGCACTTACATGGCAGCAGCAGGCCTCAGTGTTACACCAGGCCAAGAGAATAATCAGGTATGTTACCGTTTTAGAAAGCATTTAGAATTCCACGTGTCCTTATCTGAGTCTGGACAATACAAGTAGTGGGGAAAAAAGGAGAGTCAAATTTACCAGCAGTCATAACTGGTGATCCAAAAGTGCATCTTACAATGTGTGTTATAAAAATAAACATATCTAAAATAAGGTTTTAATTCCTTTTTTGGGCTCTGGAGTCATGAACAAATCCCGTGGTTTTAACACAATACCCAGGACTATGGCATGAGATTGCAGTCCTATGCACAGCAGGAGACATCATTCTTTTTCTAGCTCACTTCTTTTGAAATCAGTTTGCTGTTTATGAAATTTCCTATATTGGTCTGCAGTGCAAAGGACTGGGAAATTACAGTCTCCAATAGCTTTCAGTTATCTTTAGCTTTCACAAGCAGATGTTATATCTGAAATCAGTGCAGTTTCCTTCAAATCTTCAAGAATCTTTGTATCCAGCATCTGAACATTGCTGGACACAACAGAATAGTTTCAGTTGGAGGCATTCAAGGAATTACCTGTTTCAGGTTATGAAAGAAACCTGATTAGTGTATTTGCTATGTAAGAGGCAACCTGTTACAAAAGTATTAGCTGAGGTAGTGAAAATCAGAGCTGAATTTCAAACACCATGACTCAGGGACTTTTCAAACTGGGCACTTAGTTCAGGCTCATGCCTGGTGTACGCTATTACATGAGAAAATAGTATGAGGATGTATGTGCTGTTGTACAAGACTTTTTTTTTTTTTGCTTTAAGTCTGGGAAAGGAGCCAGGATTACATGCATCAACCAGATCATGCTCTCCTCCTGCCAGCTGGAGCCATTTACTGTATTCTCTGAACCAAGCTGTGACTTGTACCCAGGTGGTGTTTTACTTGAAGCTTGATGAGAATGGGTGCTCTAGTCCTTATAAATTATTTGTTGACAGTCCTGGACTGCATCAGAAAACAGTATTTCAGTAGTAGCTTGACATGACTTTGTATGCTGTTAAGGCATTAATGTGTATGATAACATTTTCTAGGACAAGGAGAGACAGCATGCTCACATTGGGATCATGGTAGAGTATGGAATTGCCTTGATGAGCAAACTGGATGGCATCAACAGACATTCCTTTAACAATTTCCGCCTACGTATTGGTAAGTTCAGTTCATGAAGGATTTGAATGTGACAAGCTTGGTAAAAACTAGAGCTGGAGAAAAATTATTAGAAAAGTAGGCTGCTGGGTACCATTGAATTGGTCATAATGTCACTAGCTTGGTGGTGTGGCATATCATATAAATACTTAACTGAGCTTAGACCATTGTCTTATCCAGCTTTTAAATTTGGCAAGCAGTGAGGATTCTGTATCTGCTTTGGGGAAACAGCTGTGTAGCCTTGTGATCTTGGCAGTCCTGCACTATTCAGGCATTGGTGTTCCTGCCTTGAGCTTTGCTTGGGGCACAGTGACGCTGGAGCTGGCTAAGCTGAGTTTAGGAAAATATGGCTTCAAGAAGAGAGGGAAAGCCTGGCGGTGGGGTTGGCTGTTTACAAAGCAACTTGAGAATTGTTTTACATCTATAAAATGTAGAAAGATTAGACTTTGCTTATAGCACAGGTCTGAGAGTCAGGAGACCTAGACTGTGTCCTCAGTTTTGCCACATACTCCTGACACTAGGCTGGAAAGCTCACTTACTCGTGCAGAGTAAGTGAGCTTTCTCTGTATTGTCATCTCTGTATTGTCATCTGCAGAACTACCTGCAGATACAAGTAGACCTACACAGGCTGGCATGTTGGGCAGAACAGAACCAGATGAGGTTCAACGTAGAGAAATGCAAAATGCTGCATCTGGGAAGGAAGAACCCACAGCACACCTACAGGCTGGGCATCGCTAACCTGACCAGCACTACAAATGAAAGGGATCTGGGGGTAACAATAGCCCCCGGTATGAGTATGGGCCGTAAATGCGACGCAGTAGCCGCTAGGTCCAATAAAACTCTGGCATGCATCAATCAATGCATCTCCAGTAAATCCAAAGAAGTGATTCTCCCACTTTACTCAACATTGGTGCAGATGCAGCTGGAATACTGCATCCAGTTCTGGGCACCGCACTTCAACAAAGACGTGCTAAAGCTCGAGAGGGTCCAGATAAGGGCCACCCTCGTGATCAGGGACTTGCATGGCAAGCCATACAAGGAGAGGCTGAGGGATCTCGGACTCTTCAGCCTTAAAAATAAGAAGGCTGAGAGGGGACCTGATTGCAGATTACTGCTGTATCAGAGGCACACATCAAGGGCTCAGTGAACAACTGTTTCCCAGGGGCGCCCTGGGGGAAAACTAGAAACAACTGCCACAAAGTTCTGGAAGATAGTTTCAGGCTGACCATTAGGAAAAACTTCTTCACAACTAGGGTGTCCAGACTATGGAACAAGCTTCCCCCCAGAGGTGGTGCAATCATCTTCAGGAAAAGACTGGATGCTCACCTGGCAGGGGTCACCTTACCCCAGATGTCTTTTCTGCTCATGCAGGGGCTGGACCCGATGATCTTTCGGGGTCCCTTCCAGCCTATGATTCTACAGTAATGGTGACCTGCCAAAAGATCAAAATAACTACTGAGACCCAAATCTACTGGACCTATGCTGACATGTTTTTGTTTATGTAGGGATAAACCATGGGCCTGTGATAGCTGGTGTGATTGGTGCCCGCAAACCTCAATATGACATCTGGGGTAACACTGTCAATGTTGCTAGCAGAATGGAGAGTACTGGTGAACTTGGAAAAATCCAGGTAAGAACATGGGGATTCTAGATGTTTCTGGAATATTACTTCTAGCATTTTTATTGGTTGGGACTGAAAATAAATATCCATTGAGTTTCACATCAATTTCTAATTCTGTTCACTCACAGGTTACAGAAGAGACCAGCAGAATATTACAAGAACTGGGATATGTGTGTGAATGTAGGGGGCTCATTAATGTCAAAGGCAAAGGAGAACTTAGGACTTATTTTGTGTGCACTGACACAGCCAAATCCCAAGGTATTGGATTGAACTGAGGCTGTAACAAAGTCTGTCAAATGGGTTTTGAACAACCACATTGCTTCTATGAAGACTTGGTATTTTTCTCCTTATATAAAGGAGATTCTTAACGTGTGCTAATGGTCCATCTGCATCTCAAGAGATTGACTTATAAAGAAGACAAATCCTGAATGTTCTTATAGGAAATTGTTGTCTTGTCTGTTCCTATGATGATTTGAAGAGTTATCTGGAATGGCCTTGTCATATTTCCTGTTACTTCCTTTCCCGCTTGCAATATAGGAAACTGAAAGCCTCAACAAGGACATACATGAATGCGTTATTGAACTCATTGTCAGGTGAAAACATTCCACTGCCTCATCGTTAGATCTGCTAACAGTATTGCATTTGTCACGAACACTAAGTGACAGTAAGCTTTGGGCTCAGCATATCCTTCAGTTGCATTTTCTTGAAATAAAGCAAATTGTCAAGACAGAAGCCTGCTGAATGATGGAGGGATGGACACAAGCAAATTACTTTTTATTATATGGCAATTATGCTGTTGCTTTTGCATAAGAGTGATTATGCCGTAGTTTGTATTAGGTTTCCCCATGGTAACCAAACTGACGTGTGCCTCTCCTACCTTAGTCACCAAATTTACACAATTTCTTTCTTGATGAACAGTTGTACTTTTATACAAAGTTGGTTCAAAGAACTTACGTCATGGGATATGTGCACCTTGGTCTTTCACCCTGCTTTTTCCACTATTCAAGGAAGATGAAAGTTTTTTTGAATAACTTAATATCTACTGGCAGGAAGTTGCTTTGACTTTCAGAATCAACTTTGAAGAAATCCAGCATGTGAAAAGCCCATTTAGAGACCTGCATGTTGATAAGATACAGTAAATGATAGCTGCAGAGATGCAGGCCTTCCATTCATCACAGTTGTGCCATTGCATGTTGCATATTTACCAAGTTAATGTTAACCACTGTGCTCTTGTTTGGTTTCTGCTACCTGAAGAGGGCAGTCCCTCAAATTGATAACCTAAGGTAAACTTAAATCAGGTGCCCTGGTTACAGCATATTTTCTCTTTGCCACCCTGTTCAGGCTAATCATTATGCCTCTGTTCTCAGAGCTGTGCAGGTTGTAAATTACATAGTCACTTATTTTTATTATGTCCTCCACAGAATATATGCCGCCAGCATCTTTTTTTGTCTGATCATTTTGTTATGTGAACATTCTTGGTGAGACTAGGACAATTCTAGAATAGCAGCTACTCCAGCTGCCCTCTCCATGTCAGAATTCCCTGAAAACTTGAGCTGAATCTGACTAGTGCTTAAAATTCATCTTGGGGCTACTATTCTCTTCTAGTGTAAATACCAAGTAGTTGATGATCAGCTATAGGCTTTTTACTACTAGTGAGATCCATCTTTCAAAGATGGTCTGAATATTGATATACAATATCTAGTAAAATGAATGCACAATTGTAGTCTTGGGTTAATACTAAGATAATTCCCTCTTTAGAGCCAGAGAACAAAACATTTTGGGTGCCTATACACATGCAGGGAGGCTGCTCTGATGCACTGTAATTACAGGGTGCTGGAGCAGACTCAATTAATCAAGTCTGCTGGAGCGTGGTAATTCCTGTACTCCAGCAGACTACAGCATCATATGTATCAGTGTCCCTATACTGAAAAATGGTGGTGGGGGTGGTTTAACTAAAGCTTGTTCACTGAGCTTTAGTTAAAATGCCTCTGATCATTTTTCAGCACAGGGACGCTGATACATGTGATGCTTTGGGTGCTTTAATTAGAACGGCTCTCAAAGCCACTCTTAATTAAAGCCCCCCCTCCTTGCAGCACATCTATAAACTCGCTTTAGTTTTAGAATAGGTATGAAGAAAGTTTCCTTTTTTTATTTAGTTAAAATTCCTGGCAATGGGAGTCTTTTGAAAAAGTAGATAAAACAGTAATGAAGTATATCATTCAATTTTGGAGCGTATTTGAGTTACGTTTCTCCTTCGGCATAAGCTTGTGAAAGATATCAAGAACAAATGTTCAAGATGACAACAAATATGCCTGCGTACAGAAGGTGCATATTTATAATTATATACTTTGTGCACCTTATTACTTTGCACCCATATTCAGCTGAGGTGTCTGGGCTTGAAAAATTGCCCCCAAATTAAAAATAAAACCTTAACATTGTTTGATATATGTAATACCTGCAACTTGTACTGAACATCTGTGCAACAAAGGCTTTGACAATAGCCATAACATGACCTTTGGATAGGGACTAAAATAAAGGGGCTGATTGAATTCTTGAAAATAGTTGGCAAAACAAAACGATCGTGTATTAGAATGAATATATTCTGAACTGAAGAGAACCACTAAGGAAGATTTTTGTAAGTGTGTTTAGCTATAATCAGTGAATTTCCTCTGAGTTTTTTCTCTGTACTTCATTGTCACAGGGCTGCATAAGCTTCATAATACAGGTTGCAAAGCTAAAAATATATATATATATATTATTACTACAAAAGCTGCGTGTAGAAAAATGTTTATAATGTTCTGGAATGGCCTAAAAACTAGAACTGTGCTTCCCTGATTTACTCCAGCTGTTTTATTCCATGGTGATGCAGAGTAAAAGGACTGAAGAATTGCACTTACTACAAATTAGTTTAATGTGAAAAGTTTTCCTTTAGCAATGTAATTAGTTTTTGCTAAGCTTAAACAAGATCATGCCTACATTCGTTCCTGCTGTTGGGCAAAAAGTATCTTTTTAAAGATAATATGCCCAGTATGTACATTTATTAAGCAAGGATTCTCTCTCCTGCGAGTGGTTATAAAACATAGAATAACTAATATTTTGTTAAGATTACTTTGTAGACAAAGCAGCATTTGTAAACGTTTCTGTTTTAGTACCGAAGCATGACTGCAGCATTGTCTAACATGTTTTGTCTAACTTGACACTGCTGTTTTCTAATTACTGTGTAATTTCTTTGAAAGCTAAAGTGCCTATGTTTCAAAACAGGAACAAATCTGAGTAATGTCCTAACTGGATTGAAAACTTTTTTTTAATGTCTTTATCAGTGTGGTAGGTCAAAACTGTTTTTGCTGTAGTTACCTATAAAAAATACATTAGACAATCGTAGTTTGAGGTTGTCTAGATCTTATGTTCATTTGCTGATGAGAGGGAGTAGTTTCCTACTTAAACATCTTGCTAATATCAGGTCAATGTAAATATTCTATTCTAAACTATTTTTGAGTAGCTTTCATTAGCCCCTTCCGTTGTACATTTGTAATGTTAGATGTTTAACAAGCATTTGTTTTTGAGATGTTAATTTATTTTGTTTTATAAGCACCAGAACCAGTTTGAATGACCATATTGCCTCATTAAAGTATTTTGAACTCTGCATTTTTCTTATGGGTGGAACTGGTTTGAAAATAGACTATAATAGCAGTAGAAATTTAAATAAAACTTAAGGCTGTAGAACAAAATCATACCTAACAGCATTTTAAATATTTCTGTTTACATTATATTGTCATTCAGGCTGATGTTATTTGGATATAGAGTGGTTTCAGTTGCAGATATTTTCAGCAGACTATAGCTTTTTGAAGTAGATGAAGCAGGGTTGTCTCTTTTTGTTACCTGTGGTACTGCTGTGTGATTTTAAAGGGATATGATCAACTTAATCACATGGTTGTCTGAATTTTTCTGTATTTACGTTGTTGCTGTATGAAAGCTGAGAAAATGGAAAACAAGTCAAAAGTATTGACCGAGGGAAACTATTTATCTGGACTTATTTTGTTCCCTTAAATGTCGTGTTTTCAGGCTGCAGGGGTGTAAGAAGAGCACACACCAACTGCTGAAACTTCCTTAGCCTGACTAAGGGTTTTGAATCTGAAAGCTTGCTTAATAACTATTCGGGTTGGTCTAATAAAAGATATCAGATTCACCCAAGGAACTGTGTTTTCAGGCTGAAATTTATCTTGAACTGGAACTGCAGTGTTGGGAATCCATTCTAAAGCTGAAAATAAACAAAGTTGCCTCTTCAGTGAATTTGAGCCTTACCAAAACAGTGCTTTTAATTAGCTGTTTCTTAACAGAACTGTGAACCCTTACCTATTAGAATTTAAGGAATAACTGTTTAGGACAACTTCTGTAGAATACTTGTTTTAAAAACAGACAAGTCTTAACCTACAAAATAATGATTTATCTTGATTAAAGCTGATTACACTATCTTTAAATAATGAATCAGTTACCTACTGCATAGAAAGAACATACTTTTGTTTCTGCCATAAAATAAAAAACTTCTTAAAGCTAACGTGTTTTGCATTTATTTGGAATATGTATGAATATCCAGACTTTTCAGCTACACAAGCTTGAATTTGCAAGCTCTTTATGTTTTCTACTTAATTGTTTCAGCCCAAGTTAGTACTGAGAACACTGAGTATTAAAGGAGCTAATCAGGCTGTCAGTGAAGTGATTAGTTGTACAATAAGAATTCATGATTTATCAGTTACTTTTCATAGATACATATTAACACAAAATCATGAACTTCTGATATGGTTTAATGAGTTTAAAAGTTTAAGACAAAACATTTCCATTAATGCACATTGTACAAATGTTCAGTAAATCCACCCTGAAGTTTTAGTTCTTAAATAGAACCAAATAAAAATATAAAGACATAAAACTGAAGTTTCAAACTGCAACTGGATCACATTCATTCCCAGTAACAGGAACAGTCTTTTTTGGTTCCTGAAAACCTGTGATAAAAAAGAAGACACAACACAGATGTGAGTGGGATAACTAGTTTTGTTCAGTAAGTGGCAAGTGTATAACTGAATATAACTGCTCAAAGTTTGTGTCACTGCATAAATGTAATGTAAATCCACTATTAGTAAGTTCAAGGTTCTTTGACGTTTTAAAACAAGTGTATTTAAAACAAGTGTATTTTTATACTTAACCAGATGAAACACTGCAAAAGACTGAATGTTTTATAGGACACACAAGTCATTTATGTCAGTTTTTCAGTTAAATATGCAATGCTGATTGAAGGCATTTACTTTTGTTGCTCATTAACAACCTACTTAAATGTTTCTTTTTTTTTTTTTATAAAGGAGGAACAACAGTAATAATACGTAATGTATGTAGTTATTTCTGTAGCATGCAAAACTCAAGCTCTTTTTAATTTACTATTTAATTAACACCTTTGAGCAAAAGGTAGCATTTAATGAAAGCCAGACTAAGAAATCTGGCAATTCCAAAGAACTTAAGATACAGTATGTTGTACAGACTGGATGGGGAAAACCAGTGCAAAATATAAAAATGTAAAACAATAGCCTATTTTAAGTAGAACCAGATAATTTAATTGTGCACTATACTACTAGTAAACTTTTTTATTTACTTTACACTTTAAGAATGCCAAATTTCATAACTGTGCACCCTTAACTGGAAAGTAAAAGCAGGGAAATCTGAATGAATACACACAATGTTACCAAGATTAAGGTTGCTATTTAGATGAACTAATTTCTTTAATCATTTGTTTTTCTTTGGCTCAGAGTTGTGCAAGTGCAAAAATTCAAACACATTTAAAAGAAGTGGTTGAACCAATCCGTGCACTTGCTTCCAAAAAAAACTAAGCATGGCAACTTTTAACCCTAAAATGTCTTCTAGGACCAAGTAACTGGAACCTCTAACTTTACTGTAGTTGTTAAAAACTGATTGGTAGATAAACTTTTGGTGTATTAAACCAGATCCCAAGTCTACCATTTGAATACTTACCATCTGTTAGATTTACACAGTTGTCTTGTGTGTCAAGTGAAGGAATGGAAATTCCCATTGCTTTCCTAATGCCGTATGTGCTTACAATATCACCAGGAGTCACTTGTTGTGCAAGTTCTTTTAGGTTATTTGTTACTCTTTCGGCTAAAAGTTATAAAAAAGCAGTCATTTTTAAATGAAAAATTAAATTTTGGTGCTTAACGTAGCACCTGAATAGCTAAAACAAAACTTGATTCCTATGCTACACTTGCACCACATTTGTATTTAACATCAGAAGTAGCTATATCCTCAGACCATACTTTGTCAACATGAGACACTGATAAAAACAGAGCAAATTAAGAACAGAGCTTGGAGTCCTTAGATAACCTGCTATCAAGTAATCTGTGGATTGTAATACCAATTGCTCTCTCAAGGATGGAAATAACACATCACAGCCAGAATTATTCAGATTAAACAATTGGGTTCAGGACTGGGTAGGAACCATATATTAATGTCCCCCATCTGCCAACTGCTTCTGACTACATAATGACAATACTACCTTCACTTGTAACATTCTTTAAGTTTGGTTAACCAATCTTGATATATTTGTATACATTAGTACTTAAGAACCATCACCGGGTATTGTACGAACTGGGTGCATCTACATGAGATGCTTAATGAGCAGTAAACTGACTGACCATGCATTACAGGGTCATGGCAAAAACCATGCTATATATAGTATTACTCTACTGCGCATTAACAGTCGCAAAAAAACCATGCGATCATGCTAATAATAAATGCACAGTAGGCTGCCCTACTGCACATTTAGTACTTCCTTTTGCAAGTACTAAATGCAATGCACAGTAGGCACTGCAGTAATGAACATGTAGATGCACCCACTTTGAAAACCTTTGCTGTAAGGCATTTCCTACCTTTTTTAAGGAGTATACCCCTTCTGAGTACACTTCTCATGGAGTGAAGGGGGGGGGGGGGAGCAGCAGCTGGATGCGGAGAAGGGTGGGGCTTACACATGGCAGTGGTGCAGGATCATGGATGGCAGCCACAGTATGTGGGCTCTTCGTGCTGCGTCCGGCCAGCAACTGTGCACCCTGCAGAAGGAAGCTGTGCTACCCCCAGCCCTGCTCCTGGGAGGCAGTGGTGCAGAGTGGTGACACACTGTCCCTACCTGCCAGCATGCACCTCTTAGTCCTTTTCTGCATACCCCCGCCTTACAGTAATTTGGTAAAAGGTCAGACTAAAGTGACTGAACAAAAAAACAGAAGTTATACATACCAAGGTGCATCTCTTTGTAAGATGGACCCAAAAGACAAATCATATTAGGAGGCGGTTTTGTACTTAGTCGTTCATTCTGAGCATCCTGGAGCTCTCTGAGTAACTTTGTTGTTTCATCAAGTTTCCTCTGGAAGAGTTCAGCTTCTGGTAACAAAAAGCCATAACACATTAGTGCTAAGATGATACATGTTTCTGTACATGTGTACATCCCCCCCCAACCCACCCCACAGCAAGTACATGACTTAAGTTACTTTACGCCAATAGATTGAATGCAATAAATGCATTCCACAAATACAATATGAATGTTTCTAATTCCAGTATAATTTAGACAACTCGCCTTCAGAGTCAAATTCTTCTACAGGCATTCCAAAATTTGTTACATCTTTCAGTGTGGTAAGTCTGTCATTAGCAGAGTCCATCCTGCTAGCAGCTTCTGTTTCCATTATCTGCAAAAAGCAAGCTAAAGCTAAGATGCTTTTTTTTATATTTTATACACACACACTGTAAATGAGCACACTGTTAGTTAGTAGGTGACAATTTTTATATTTGCTCCATTTGCTCACTTCAAACATTCACGTCAGAAAAATCTTACCTCCATATCCTTTATAGAATCGCTTCTTTCATGCTGGCTTTCAACTTCATCCACTGGCTAAAGACGGGGGGGGGGGGGGGGGGGGGGGGGAGAGAAGGAGAGAGTATTTAGTAGGGCATTAAAATGAATTAATGCTTTCGAGTAGGAAGCAAAAATCAGTCTCTTCCAAGATGATGCTCATAAGTGGAAGGTGAAACTGAGTTTCCACCTGTACAAGTAATCAGTAACCTTCTAACTTGACTGGAGCAAACAATCTTCCACAGCTGTAAAACATTACAGCTGTAATACATTTTTCAATACCTTGCAGATGACTTTGGGGTTTTCTACATGTGGTATAGCTCAATTTTTTTAGTCTGAGTTAGCATGCACACTTTCAAGAAATTAAACCTTACTTTTCATTAGTTAATCTAAAGCAAAAGTGACTGACCCCTGTAAGTAGTTTTGTGTTAGTATCACTGTTGGGTACAGGAAAAAAAAAAAGACGGCACAGGACTGGCTGAGCTAGGATTCAATGATACAACACAATCATCTGGAGCCAGAATTCATCTTCGATTGTTAAGGCCTGGCAATAATCTTCCTGATATTAATGTAGTTAGCTAGGCATGATGAACTGTCTATTGCTCTTAATTGCCTAAATCTAAAATACCAAAAAAAAAGGGAAGAATTAACTGCACCAACTATATGAGCAAAGACTTTTAAGCTAAACTCAGATTGTGGCTGTATTTTTGCACCACCCACCCTTCTGGCCAAATCAGCCCCCTTGATTCTGATTCTGCTCAGCATGTGCATTTGCTAAAATTTCACAGGGATTAAAGACAACTAGTTGGCTAGTGACTGTAAAAGTAATTATAGAAGAGTCCTTATCTCTGTTCTTATGAGGGCAGGAGAATAACTCCTTGTCTTAAAGCTAGAGATCAAGCTGCTGAACTCTTTATGCAGACAGGAAGAAGAAAAAAAAAAGCAATCCATGGCTAAAACAAATGGCATAATTTATCTTACTTCCTTAACAGCAAGAGAACATCATGGCTACAGTTTAGAAACCAGAGTAACCAGGGCAGGAAGAGGTATGACGTGCAGAGTATCATAGAATTAAATAAACTGCACGTGTTCTTTTTCCATTAAAGTCCTGGAAGGGCACATAGGGACCCCAACAGATGCCACTGGCCAGTCAGCATGAGATGAACCCATCACTGGGTTCTGCATTTCATTCTTTTACCGTAGGCACTGGGACATAGTACAGCCCGGGCAGCAGTTTGACCCTTCCATGTCTGCAGAACTCAATGAAGAAGCTTCACTGGAGCACTGGTCTGGTGATGTTTCTTGGAGCCAGCACCATAGCTGGGTGTTCTCTTATAGAAATTATGATCCAGCCATGTATCCTTCTGTCATGAAGACTGCCTTCAAGCTATGTAAGTGCGATGACTGCTGATTAAACTTCTCAGAAAACAATTTGCAGCCATAAACAGGGGTTAGAACTTCTCCAAGCTACCATTTCTCTCTATCCCAGGTAAACACAATCCTCCTTATTTATATCTTTTTTCTATAGGATGTGGAATTCAGATCAAAACTACATCAGTGCATTAGGACTCAAGAGTTGCAATGAAGTGTCTATTCTCTGTTTTACAGCATATGTTAAATATGTAGCTGCACATTTATAAAGGATAAACTACAATATGGTTTAAATCAGTATTGTTACAGGACCCTTATAGGATTAAGGCAAATCCTAGAATTATTCTTTGTGAGCTCTGGTGCAAGCAGTGTACA